AAAAAAAAAAAAAAAATAAAAAAAAAAAATCAAGAAAAAAAGGTTAATAAGGGCAGAAAATATTTTTTATTAGGAATGTCAAAAATATTTAGACCCTTACAAACATTTTTAGAACATTAGTTTATTGAATGATCATTTATTGTACTGCAATGTTACAATACAAGACTATTTTAAATGTTCAAAATTTTGTTTTGATACTGCTTTTAAGATGTTCACGAAAATAGCAGAAACAATAAAAAAATTTATTGAGGATGTGACAAATGATTCTTTTTACAAAACAATTAATACTGCGGAAATATTTTTTTATAAATTTTCCATGGTAAAAACCATGGTAACAACCATGGTAAAAGCCATGGTATCAACCATGGGTTAATAAACCATGGTAAAAGCCATGGGTTAAACAGATTTTTCCCAAGATAGTAAAAACCATGGTAAATACCGGTAAAAACCTCACATGATAAATACCATATTAACAACAAGAGCATCTGACAAATCGACAAGTGCTGTGCACTGATAGGTTTATTTGGCGACATTTTTTATGGCGATAAAGTCGCAGAATCTTGAACCCTACCGCATGTAAACAAACAGAAAAATAGTCCACAGAACCAAATTAAAATAAAACAATAAAAACTATCAATTCATTTTCTCGATAGCGTTCTAATAACTAATTTGTTACGATTTGTAAATATACAAAGCAGTAAAAAGAGTATGTTTACGGTTAACAAAAATATATAATCGTTGAAAAAATTTATGACACATGCACTCATATAATCTCAGAAAAGCACAAATTCCAGAAAAAAATACATGAAAAATAATTTCATAACAAAAATAAAATTTATAATTTAAATAAATTGAGGGCACTTGAAATAAAGATCAATAAGACGAATTATTTCCCGCCACTTCTGGCGATCTTAGTTAGTTGAATATGGCGCAGATCTTTGAATTGACTTTAAAAACGAGCAGTCATTTAAAAATGAAAGCACAAAGTAAGATATTTATATGCAACTAGCAAAAACATGCAATTGATCCAAAACATGTTAAATAAATATCCTATATATAGATATTATTCTATATAAAAGAAGAACTTACGAGCAGTGACAAGAGGCAGCAGCTACAATGATGTTACGCGCAGAGTCAGATTAGTGGGCGAAGTGAGAATCGTGAACTGCAAAACACGGCCACAGGCGAAACCAGCTAGCAGAGCTACTTGGCGGATCGAGTTCACTAAGGAATGGGGAGAGAGAAGAAAATAAATCATGATACTCAAAAATTCTTCGCGCCAGGAACTACAACTAGAACTAGATATCCTTAGAAAAAAGGCACTAACAATATTTAAATTGTGTTGATTCGTAGATGTTTAATGTGTGGGCATTTATCGATTGATCTTCTATGCTTATACTGATAAGGTGAAAAGAAATTCGTCCTCGAAATTTCACATTTTTACGGAATTAGTTGTTAGCAATTTTATTAAAATTCCGAAAACGAAATCAAAATATTAGTATTTATGCATGTGAATAGCGTCTATATTTAGCCATAAATAATAATAACGAATGTGTTTAGAAATATATATTTTCAGCATTATATTTATTGAATAAGTAATATGACCTGATTCTTTACATATTTATAAGCACAATGCATATTTATAAAACTTATATTTTTTCCCTATATCATATGATCCTTATTCTGTTTTTATTTAAACTCATTCGTACCATTTATATAGTAACTAATATATAATAAGATTTTAGCTTTGAATATGATATTACATTAATTTATATCCTACATTCATTTATGTATTAACGATATATATTTAATTAGTTTATATTTTATTCAATTATGATATCTTAATTGAATTTTATATATACCTATGATAAATAGAGTAAATTTATTTTTATTTTATTTTAATATATCATATATTACAATACATCATAAAGTAATATTTCTGTAGTAAATATTAGTAATATTATGTAGTAAATATTAGGTGAAAGGAATTTGTCATATAAAGNAATACTTCATATATTACAATACATCATAAAATAATATTTCTGTAGTAAATATTAGTAGTATTAATGAAAGAATTTTATAAAGAGAGTTAAATATTTTTATACATAACATACAATATTAACTCAAAAAAAGTAAGTTCACCGAATCAAGAAATGGAATCCACACAGTAGTAAGTAAATGACTGAAATCCATATAGTTAGCTGTTGAATTTTGAAGCTTCGTACTACGATTTATATTCGGATACTGTTAAAGTGCATTTATTTTAAGAGGATGCTATATTTCGTGAGAAATATTTTATGCCAAATTCTGTTTTACATCCATTGGTTATTTAAATTATGAAAAAAGTTAGTACAGGTAACCAGCGTAAACAATGAAGTTTCAAATGCTGAAAATAAATTTTGAAATATCAAAATGCAAACAAATTATGACTGAACTACTTTCCCACCGTATAATCCTGATAATTCTCCATAATTTGCTTGCATTTGGATAATTTTTCTCTAAATTTTAACTATTATAGTGAGGTGAAAGGAATTTGTCATATAAAGTTTCTTCCGTGATTTAGCGTCCTTTTTAAGGAATATCAAAATGCAAACAAATTATGACTGAATTACTTTCCCACCGTATAATCCTGATAATTCTCCATAATTTGCTTGCATTTGGATAATTTTTCTCTAATCTTTAACTATTATAGTGAGGAGAAAGGAATTTGTCATACAAAGTTTCTTCCGTGATTTAGCGTCCTTTTTAAGGAATATCGAATATCAAATATCAAAATGCAAACAAATTATGACTGAATTACTTTCCCACCATATAATCCTGATAATTCTCCTTAATTTGCTTGCATTTGGATAATTTTTCTCTAAACTTTAACTATTATAGTGAGGTGAAAGGAATTTGTCATATAAAGTTCCGTGATTTAGCGTCCTTTTTAAGGAATATCAAATATCAAAATGCAAACAAATTATGACTGAACTACTTTCCCACCGTATAATCCTGATAATTCTCCATAATTTGCTTGCATTTGGATAATTTTTCTCTAAATTTTAACTGTTATAGTGAGGTGAAAGGAATTTGTCATATAAGTTTCTTCCGTGATTTAGCGTCCTTTTTAAGGAATATCAAAATATCGAATATCAAATATCAAAATGCAAACAAATTATGACTGAATTACTTTCCCACCGTATAATCCTGATAATTCTCCATAATTTGCTTGCATTTGGATAATTTTTCTCTAAACTTTAACTATTATAGTGAGGTGAAAGGAATTTGTCATATAAAGTTTCTTCCGTGATATAGCGTCCTTTTTAAAGGAATTTATAATAGTATGATAGTCTCAAGATTAATGTAGTGACATTAATATGGCATTGCTTACGTATAAGTAATCTTGATTAATAAATTAATCAAGATTACTACTCTTCGCTTGATAGTAAAAGCTGCTGTATTCCACATAATAGAAGTTTACCGTTAGCATTAGCTCAAGTTAAGCCAACACCTAAATTTCAAATATTTACATGCACTAATCCCAATGGCTTGGCAACTATTGCAGAGGGGGCGAGATTTTTTATTTTTTATTCAGTGCACGGGTAAGAAAAATGCTTTTATAAAAAAAAATTTTTTTTACAACCAGATTTACTTCCAAGTGCTAAAAAGAGCATTGCCAGTTGTATTTTTATACTAACTTATATGCAGTTGGTAGGCAGGTACATTCATTTACTTTACAATAGAGTTGCACAATGGGCTATTGGCGATGGTCTTGGAAACATTCCTGATGATGATCCGGAGATCACATACATACGTCACACCACGTTTTACAGAGAGGACGCATTCACACACCATCCATCCTTTCCACAGATCGTAATTTAGACCTGAATCAGAGCACGATCAATCTGATATCCAGTATCTCCAGAGGTATTGATCCGTTCTGAGAAATTGGTGAACTTTGTGACCTCGACTGATTTAGCGTGCACCAGTCACCATTTTATCTTCGGCCGGCAGAGAGCGAACTCACGATCCTCGGGCATGGGGCCCTACTATCCAGGCTATCCTGCCCCCTATATGTAATGCATTTCGTGTGTATTTTTTATATTTTTTTATATTTTCTATTTTGTGCAAAATGGAGAATTAAAAACTCTTTTTAAAAAACGATTTATATTCCGAATAAAATGCTAGTGCATTCCTTTTGCTGTTATTTAAAGCTGAAAATTCTTTTTATTAAAAACTTTTTGAAAATTATTACCAGTCTGTTACAAATCACTTTATTGATTTGTAAATCGTCTCCATAATTTTAGGTATGTTTAAAACTACAAAGACTGAAGTAAATGAATAAAAAAAAAAAAAACTATGCATATTAAGAGAAGCAAATTAAAAAATATGAGAAACAAAGGGATCGAAATCACCTAAAACCGTTTAGCTTAAATGCGATTTTTAGCAAAAGAAAAATGCATATCAGGCAGACAAGATAAACTATATATATATTGCTCTTCCAGACACTAATCATAATTGTTAAGATCTTGAGAAAGTTTATATTGTTTTTTTCATTTAAATAAAAATCCGTTTTTTCTCCTTCTTTGTAAAAAAAAAAAAAAATCGTCTTTTTCTCTTAAATCTAACTCAATTTTCTTAAATTCTCTTAAAACTTGACTAATTTTTTTCCGTAAATCAAAATTGTATAATTGCATAGCAACTTAACTATTTTAATCAAGCATTTTTTTTTTTTTTTAAGGAAATTGCTTCTGTATTTCTGGTTATTGCCATAAAAAATTTTAAATTTTCAAATTTCGATATAAAACACTGTATTTCTTACATAATGATGCTTAAAAAAACTTGAATCATTTCTATTATTATTTCAGAAGTATAATACACAATGCACAAAATATAAAATAGAGCTCTAGAATAACTTTTGATGCGTAGGTCGGATTTTTAAGTACTAACTAGAAAAGTACAAGTCTGAAAAACGTAGTTTTCCAAATATGCTCAATAATGTTCATGTCTGGGGATTTTGGTGGCCAACGGAAGTGTCTAAATTCAGAAGAGTGCCGCTGGCCACCAAAATCCCCAGACATGAACATTATTGAACATATTTGGGATGACTTGCAACGTGATGTTCAGAAGATTTCCCCACCCCCTCTTACTCCCACTGGTTTATGGACAGCCCTGCAGGATTCATGGTGTCAATTATCTCGAGCACTACTTCACACATTGATCGAATCCATGCTAAGTCGTGTTGCGGCACTTCTGCGTGCTCGCGGGGGCTCTACACGATGTTAGGCAGGTATACCAGTTTTTTTTGGCTCTTCAGTGTAATTAAAAATTTCCGATGTAAATTATTATAAAATTAATTTTACTATGTTATTTTAAAACATGGGGCCTAAAAACAATCAAGGAAAAGTGAACTGAGGGAAAAAAAAACTGGAAGCCGAGAAGAAACGGTATGTTCAAATTGCTCACAATAATTATTTTTGGAATTTATTTACATAAAAAGTTAAAATTAACTTTTCAACTTTGTCTTTTTGAGTTTCTTCAGTTGAGTTACCTACTATTAGCTTAAAATGACTGTTTTCTTAACTTTCAAGCTAATATGTCATTTTCCTGGCATTCAAAATTTGGTGAATTTCTATTTCATTTTTTTTTCTTGAGCAAATGACAATAAACTACTCTGCTGTCTATAAGATATTAATAAATGTAACTAAATAAATATACAAAAAAAAAATTAGATTGTTAAGACCTTTTTCTATAGATCATCTCGAGAAGTTCTTCCTAAAAATTTTCAATACATATTTCTTGGCGAAGATGGATATTCTCACACAAATTGTCGCTGTCTTTTTAAATGATAAAACAAGTTTCAAATTAAGTCATTTCATCATTGTAGACTATATAAGTTCTTCTCAATAGCTTTCATTAAATATTTGTTTGCACAAATGCATATTTTCAATCATATCGACGCTCTTTCATTAATAGGGTAAATATATTTTTTCCATGTTGGTGTGATTTTATAATTAATTTGTCTTTCCACCCCATTCTGCACCATAGCGGGGGCAGAGTGCTCGTGTGTGCCTATATCTATATATATATATATATAAACAGAAAGTGCAATGGGGCTATATATAAGCTCCGGTTCTGTGAAAATGATAGTGTAGTTATTTACGCAACTATTTTGCCAAATCATGTATATGAGGAGTGCAAGACAGTAGAAACTTCTCACGTGCTGAAGGAATGGAGTAAATTATGTGGTGTCAACGATGGGATTTGAACCCCTGTTTAGCTGGATTGACAGCTAAAGTATATACGCAGC